CTCTGGCGATGACCATCGGAGAAGACCAGGAATATTCCATCAACGGCGTCAGGTATCACCGTTAGTTTTTAGACGGAATATGCTGTTATTTAACGAAATATTCCCCAACGTCGTTAAGGATTCCGTCTGTGTGCTAGGAACGTGCCTGCGCGTGGCCGTGCCTTGGCCGGCGCATGAGGGCACGTGGAACATTGAAAAATTATTCTAAAAATATAGGGATGCTCGTGCTATTGAGTAGGCCACGATGATATATTCAAACATCCCAATTGAGCAACATATGAGAAGTTATTACACGATTTTGGTTATGTGCTTAAAATTAACGTTAAAATAGTTGTTTCACATATAGGTGAGACATTTCCGAAGTACAAGCGTAGCCAGACGAGACTTGAGGGTTACGACCCTGCTACATACCAGTAAGTGGGCTTTTGGTTTTCTATATATATATATGCGTTTCCCAGAAATTGTTTTAAATGGAATTTCGTTTAAAATGCCATGTCATGTTTGCTTTACATTTTAGCATATGCATTAGTATAGCTTTGCATAATATTGCATGATGCTGCGGAGGCCCAGGTAAGTTCAGGTGAGTATATATTGATGGTATGGTTGCATGGTAGTTGATTATGAGTTGATGCACGTAGAGCTCATTATCATGCATCCCGGTGTTAGTGCTCCACCCGTGGCCAGGGCCTAGCCTTCACGTGATCATTCACCTCCCGCACCACATGCTCAGCGCTGATCCAAGTCAAGTGCAAGCCTGTCGTACATACCACTGATAGGAGCATATTTAGGCGACTTAGCTAGCTTATTCTTGTTCATTTGTGTTATTATTTCTTAGTTAATGTAGTATTTCAACTCATTTTCGTGTGTTTGTAGGTCCAAAGGGTTAAAGTACCAAGAAAGTGCATTTTGGAGCAGTTTTGGGCACTAAATGGATCGCTTGTATATCGGCCAACATGGATGGACGAATTTGGAGTTCAAAAGGCTAGAAATCTGATAAGAAGATGAAGAAATTAAACTCAAGAAAAAGTGGATAATGAATTAGCTCAAAAGAGGAAACATTATCCAAAACCTTATCCAACATTATCCAAAACCTTATCTTATCTTATCCTATCATAACCTAATCTTGTTCCACCTTAATCCTAGCTGCAAGTGGACCTAAAAACATGATTTCTAGAAGCCTTATCTAACCCTAAAAGGGTGTTGCACCCTTCCCCCTTTTATCTCTTCTAGAAAACCCAAAATCAGCCACAAAACACCTAGTTTCTAGAAGGCCCAATTTTGGACGAATTTCCTAAACCTTTTTCCTTTTGGATTTTGATTTATAGGGCCTCATTCCTTGTGGATTTGGGTTACACAAATCCTTTTATGAAACTAATTGGGCCAAACCCACTCCTAAGTGGATTTAACTCACTTGTGTCGAACCCTAGGACCCTAATCCAATAAATCTGCTAAGTGTAACCCTAATCTAATTAACCCTAGGACTATATAAACATATTTTCAGCCACAAATTCGTATGAACCCTTTATGCTATTCAGAAAACCCTTGCCGCAACCTTCCACCCTAATTCTCCATCATTCATTCAATCCCCACACCTCCATACACAATCTGCCGCACCCTTTCACCCTAATCAGCCATCATTCATCATCCCAAGAAAGAATACATCATTCATAACCCCCAAAACCATCACCCACACCTTGTGCCGCAGCAAGGAAGAATGAGGAAAGCCCTAGCCGTGCATGCCATTCGACCTAGAGTTGCTGGAACATTTTAGGTGTAATCTTTCTTGTGTTTTTCAATGTTTAAATTCAAGAATCTTTGCCTTGTGAGTATGAGGAACTAATCCCCTCTTGGCTAGGGGGAATTTCGAAACCATGGCTATATTTGCATTATGATTTGATTACTTCCAGTTGTGATTTCATGAATTGAGAATCCAATTTACTTATCTATTTGAATTAAAACTTGTTTGTGTATGTGGGTTGAGAGTGCACACTTAATTTGCATGCATAAATCTGATGCTAGGATATAAGGAAGTTTCACCTAATCGTTGGGAACTTATATTCATAAGTAGTAAAGGTTGTTAGTCACAATCATGTTAAGTAAATTCTTGGCATAAGTATCATGCGCTTTCATAGTTACGAATGCCTCGTCAACACTTATGATTTTCATAGAATTTAATGATCTTTGAGTGTTTCTCTATTATGCGCTTTCATGTAGAGAACTTTTGAGGAATGATTTGATTGCAATGCACTAATTCCATTCAATTCAATGACTTAAGGAAAATCTGAGGGTTAATTTAAGCGTACCTAATTAACTTGGGTTATTGAGGTTCATGGTTCATTGAATAAGCAACTGGAGATTGTTTTGTATGCAAGTATGTCATGGGTGGAGAAAGACCTCCTAGCTAGGCCATCATCCATCTAATTTCACCCAATTCGTGCAAATCTGCATAGTTTTAAGTCTTGTTTTTGTTTACTTTATTATCGTCGAAAACCAAATCCCCCTTTATTTTAGAGTGTCTAACTAGTTAGAATCTGTTTTAGATTGTGTTTTCAAGTGATTTGAGTCAAGTTAAAACCAAAATTCGTCCATATTTGTGTTTAGAGTCAAATCTGCCCAGTTTGTGTTTTTAGGCAGTTTTGAGTGTTTTTAGCTTATTTTGAGTCTTGTGAACTTGTTTTGAGTCTTTTAAGTTTAGTTAAGTGTTTTAAAAGCTTAGTTTTATCAATTTGAGTCAGTTTAAAGTGTTTAACAATCTCTCCTAATCCCCGGTTTAAGAACGATCCCTACTTATATCTATACTACAATTGTCAAAATAGGGTTTAATTTGTGTGTTAAGTTAATTTTCGCATCAACCACATTAGGTGGTTCCAACTCGTAGGTGACCTGTGATTCGTCGCACATCCTTCACGTGATCATAGCACTTGAGCGTACTTATTTACACCCAGCCTATCATACATACCACATTAGGTGGTTCCTACTCGTGTGCAGGTTTAGTGCCGTACAGGTCACATTAGGTGACTCCAGCTGGCATATCACTTTTACATTGATTTATATCACATGTCTTATATATTTACTACTGAGATAGTGACATGGCATATACCTGGTTTTTGTTACTCTCGAGCTTGATTTCTATAAATACATATGTATTAATATTTTCTGGGAAATTATACGGGTTTTGCTGTGAAGGGTTATTGCTTTTGGAAAGAGAAATGGTTTTTAAAAGCTTTGTTTTTGCCCACTCACGTTTTCTATTTTGCGCCCCTCCAGGTTCTACTTAGAGGTTCGTGTTGGTGGCTCACAAGGACTCTACGACGGTTTTGACAGACTCTAAACAATGTAGGGTTTCCTTCACATCTTGTATAATTAACACTTAGCTTGTTGGACTGCACTTAGGTTATCTATGCTCTGATGATGTGTATCCGTGCTTTAAACATCTTCACTCACACTTATATACTTACCTAGTGGAAATTAGCTAGTTTGGTTTTTATTTACCTACATATTCGTATCACTATCACTTTTGCACTGTGCACATGGCTACGTCACCCTCATGTGACGGCCAGCATGCCTCGATTTAGGTCGGGGTGTGTCACTGAGTATTTAGTAAACTTTTATATAAATTGTTGTGAATATGTTAAATGACTAAAAAAAATATGGTATTTAGTGATATAATAATTGTTAAAAAAATAATGTACGGACAATGATTGTGATTTTGTAAAATATGTGGGGGTATGCTTGGCATTTAAAAATTTCATTAAATGTGTACTGATTACTATGCTTTGAAGAAAGAAAAACATTTTTTTAACCTGACTTCTGTTTTTCTATGTTTTTCTACTATCATTGATAGCAGTTTAAAAAAAAAAACCACTTTTTTTTTTGTTTTACCAAACACATTTGATGTTCCAGATTTTTTAATAAGCGGTTTTTTTTTTTTTTAATAAAGCACCACACCCAAACCAGATCTTAATGATAAGAACAAGAGAAAGAAAAAAAAAAAAATACTAACTAAAGGTTGTACGCCACCTAACGTTTTAATCAAAACCTAACGTTCATTATGTACTACAAAACCATAAACATTTCAGATCGGAGGAAGATTGGTTAAATTACTTAATGTATGGTGTCTGCCTCTCCTTTGATGTTGCCCATAAGTTAAAATTCTACCTGGCGAATTCAGACAGAACAAAATATGAACAAAATAGATGAATTTCCAATGATGCAATGTTAGCCGTATGGAATGTACAATTTGGTAAAACATTCTTCCTATTCAATTAATCGAATCAAATGGATTTCTCTCCCTTGTCTTTGTAAAGAAACAGCTAACTGGAAAACAAAGAAAATTTGTCTTAATGGTCGTTAGTGTTTTTAAAGAGATACCATATTTAGTTTAAGAAATAGTCAGTGCACGTCAATCTGTGTTTAATTTTAGAAATAATGTCGCGTTCAGTTTTAAAAATAGTGTTGTATCTGTGTTCAATTTCAAAAGTAATGTAGTACTCATGTTTAGTTTCAGAAATAATTAGTGTTCAATTTTTAAAAATATTGTTCAGTTTCAAAAATAGTGTTGTACCGTTCAATTTCAAACATAACGTGTGTGATGGATGTGTGCGCGTGTCAGTTTTTTATTAATTTTTTATGTTTTTTTTTATTATATTAAACTTTTGTCATTTTTATTAAAACTTAAGCACTTTTCATTAAATTTTATATTTTTTTCACTAAATAAAGTTATAGGATGATTTTTTTATTTTTTTTGTTAAAATAAACTTAGCTCAAGCTATTTTCATTAAAGCTCTAAAAAATAATTAATATAAAATATTGATATGACTTAACCGTGAGCTTTTAAATAAAAGGAAAGAAAGAAAAAAATAGTAGAGAATACTGCTCCATGTACGTGATCTACTACTCGAAAACACCACATTTTAATACTGCTTAGCCCACAGCCCAAGCCATGATAAACTCAACCCACCCAACTTCTGAAACCCAAACCCGACTTTATAGCCTTCTCACGATCGCGCTTGCGAGAGAGAGAGAGAGTTTTGGAGAAACAGACGGCTCCGCCACAGCGACCAGAATCTTAGTTCTTCTCCGTCCGTCAGGTTTTGCTTGCTTCTTATGGAACCAAATACGCTTAACCATTGAGATTGTTGCACCCACTTTCTACTCATGTGGAAGTCTCCTGCCATGTCCATTCTCGTAAGTACCTGCTCTCTCTCTCTCTCTCTCTCTCTCTCTCTCTCTACTGGTTTGATATAGGATTTTGAGTCTCTGATTATCATATGATTTGTTGGTTTTCGCTTCCGAGTGCAATCAAAATTTAGGATTTTGAATCTTGTTCCTTTCATTTGTAGATTCTAATTAATTTTCATTTGGGAATCGTTTTCTTTGTTTCATTTGTATTGGGAAGTCAATAATTTGTTTAAGCAGGTGAAACTCTGTGAAAACGGATGATAGGCTACCCATATCGAGAGTCTCGTAAGTCAGTTCAATAAAGGGGTCAATCTAGTTACTTAGTTTCGGTTTGGGCGGGCGGGTGGTTATTCACTCAGGGAGTCAAACTACTACTGAATTCCAACCAATGTGCCGAAATAAATGTCTTCTTGTGGACGAGATTAGTTTCGGTCTAATTTAAACTTATAACTCGACCAACTGCAAAATTGAACTTCAAAAAGCTGGATAAGCTTGAATTAACTTAAACAGATTTAGTGTAGTCAGCTGTGTAAATGCTTGGGCCACTGATGTTTTTAGATTATTAATCAATATTATGAATACTAATAAGTGTACCTTTATATCGAGGTTTTAATTAAATGGATGCAGTTGAACTTCTATAGAATTACAAACGGATGTCTCTAACTTGTTATCGAAACCAGGTTGGGCGGTTGACTCGGCTTGGAGTTACTAGGGCCCAAATTCTGAATTCGACTTACAGTACTGTGGTGCAAGCTCAAATATCTAACCAAAGAGCTGCAAAGACTACGGTGGCCTTGGAGGTATCTTAGAGCTATTCCCTGCACATAATAAATGAAAAGAACTGCAAATTTTCTTAAAAGAATCTCGAGAATGTTAGAATATGGACAATATTGTATCTTGCATGTACATTGTTAAGTTTTGGGAAAGGATGACATCCCCTGCGGCCATTCATCTGATAGTTTCCTGTTGTAATACACACACACACACACACACACACACCCCGCAAATTGATATTCATTAAATGATTGACTAATCGATTTGCATATGGCAATGATCTAGGATCAACACAACCACCAAGGTAACAGTTACGATCCAGAGAAGAATGCTGAAGGGGAGAAAAGGGACCAAATAGGATGGAATGTTCCTAGAAAGGATAAGGTTAACTTTCTTGTAAAAACTGTAAGTATACATAACTCAACCCTTTTTCGGTCATTTACGGTTATTGAACTTTGTGTTCTTAGTTGAATCTTTGTATAGAGTGAAAATTTCTGTATGTTAACGAACGTAGCCGGCTGATACTGGAGTTAATCAAAAGCTCAAGCCATTTTTATTTTTTTCCATTTGATTAATACCTCATGAATTTAATCAGAAATATCCAAAGCAACAGAGATACAACCAAGATAGGCGTATCAGCATGCCAAATAGTATTGGTAGCTGGTTGATTTACATAAGTGACCAACTTGTGGCTGCTCTACGGACATGTCTCAAAGAGAATTGCCTAAAATAGGGTAATCAGTTCCAAATATCACACAAAAGTGCTTCTTTGGAAATTTGTGCTTTTGTGTGTTTGTTTTTGTATTTATTTTTCTGAATCTTTATATACAAACACTGGCAGAGCCAGTTAAGGCCAAGGGGGTCATATTACCTTCTCACAATTTGGAAATGTTGTATTTATATGTGCTATATTGATGTAGCTTGGCTTTTATATTTATAATTGACCCTCCTCACAAATGTAATTTGCTCATGGTTGAGGGTCCAAAACTTAATTTCATAATTTCATTCTTTGCCTCTTAATCAAATAAAAGATATTTAATTTCATGTCCTCATACTCATATCCAATTACTTCTATTTGAATTCGCGCTAAGGTGCATAGGCATGATTGCTTTCCATCATTGTTGTAAAGCGTCATCTGCTATAATGTAATTAATTAAATCATAACGATATCAAGGTTGGAAACTCAGAATATTTTTTATGCTAAGTACGTTGATACTTATGATCATTTCTTAAGTAATCTTCATTTACAAGCTCAATTTATCATAATTTTATAGTCACTTAAAATTGACCCCTCCTTAAATTTTTACTTGCAGTGGCAACAATCCCCTCCGCTACTACATTGATATGCTAATTTTAATGCCTGTATTTATCGTCTAAATGTCGAGTGGTGTTTTTGTTCGATTCTTGTTTTGAGCCTGGAATGGGAAAGTTGTTAAATAACTTCCGCATTTTGCAGCTTCTAGATCTCAGTGACAGTAAGGAGGCTGTTTACGGTTCTCTTGATGGATGGGTTGCATGGGAGGAAGACTTTCCCATTGGAAAAATTAGGATGGCGTTAATTGCTCTTGAGAAGGAACAGCAGTGGCATAGAATAGTTCAGGTACAATCAATTCTGTCTCTCTTTATGGATTAAACAATTGCAAGCACACTTCTACACAAAGCATTCAATTTGGGAATACTTTTCTAGAAAAAAGTTTCCATCATGTATTAAAGTTCCAATAATCATCGCAGCAAAAGACTTCTTACCATTCGGGAAGAACCATCTAGGAAGAGTGTAGTGCGTCAAGGCTAGCTTGTTTTCTTTGTTATTAATTTTGAACTTCCAGTCCCAGTATTCGCATTATTTTTGGAGTGCTTGCATAAGGATGTGTGGAAACTTCTTTTTCCATCGTAGCTCTATATTGACCCTAAAAAAGAAACGGTAGGTACAGCTAGTCAGAAATTGTTGAAGAAATAACAAGATGTTTCTTTTGTCCCTTCCAGGCAATTGGAAAATAAAGAAATAGTTAATATATTCAAGATAATTACGTATTTACAACATACTGTCTCAATTCATCCTATTTCAGCAGATCCAGGATGTGATATGGTTCCGAAGGATGAATTGGATGTGGACAGTTCCAATAAGATTTCATTCTTGAACAAAAAAATTTCATGATTTAAATTCACTCAATATTCAATTGACAATTACAGACGAAACGGAAGGACTTCCATTGGAAATGGAGAAATTTGAGAACATGATTATCTTTCAGAATTCGTACCGACTAGGAAATTTAGTAGTTTTGAGTGTGTTAATGGTTTTAACTTTTTCTTTAAAAAAGAAGAGTGAGGCCTCCTTTTTATTTACTTTTGTTATTTGTAAAGCATGGTTTTATTAAAGGGAACTTGTTAGGTAATCAAATGGATGCTAAGCAAGGGACAAGGAAACACAATGGGAACATATGGGCAACTGATCCGAGCTTTAGATATGGACCAGAGACCCGAAGAAGCACACAAGTTTTGGGAGAAGAAGATTGGCATGGATTTGCATGCAGTTCCATGGAAGTTATGCAAAAGTATGATAGCTATATATTATCGAAACAACATGTTGAAGAATCTTGTAAAGGTACGGTTTATTTAATTCAGACTCAGTTAATCAAGTGTTGTGGAATCGGTTGATGCTTCGCTGTTTCAATTTTATGTCTTTTTGAATCAACTACTTTGTATATTATACTAGACTAACCTGACATAATCATGCTTGCATTCCAAAGCTTTTTGAGGGCCTGGAAGCTTTTGATCGGAAACCTCCAGAGAAGTCAATTGTCCGGAGAGTGGCAGATGCATATGAGATGTTAGGCATGCTTGAAGACAAAGAGAGGGTGTTACAGAAGTACAACTATCTTTTCACAGAAAATGTAGCACTCAAGAAATCCACAATGGCCTTGTATAAGAAAAAGAAGAAACACGGTTAGAACTTTTGATCAATGATTTACGGCTCATTTGGAAGAGCTTTTAAAATGACTGTAAGCACTTTTAGTGAACTAGCTCGTTTGGATGTGCTTTTAAAATGATTGAACACGTTTTTGGTGAAAATATTTTTAGTAAAAATGCAAGTAAATCGCACTTAAAAGTGCTTCTTGGAAGAAGCACATAACTAATGTTTTTTGTAGAAAGCACTTCAAGTGCATTTGGAACATAAACATTTTCTCTAAAAGTGCTTCAGCCATTTTAAAAGCACATCCAAAGCACTTTTAAGTATTTTTTGGAAGAAGCACCAGATATGTACTTCTTGTAGGAATCACTTAAAGTGCTTTTTCAAAATCCACAAAAATTGTTATTGAGGGTTGGTTTAAAAAACATTTCAACCAAAAGCGTTTTCCGTTATTTTAAAAACATATCCAAACGAACCCTTAAACTAATCGGTCAATTGTACGAGGAATTATGCACTGTAGATGCGGTTTTGAGAATAAAGGCAAACAAAATTGTGTAACTTGTTAAATGGCATGCCCTTTGGGAAATTTGGATGGTTGAACCTGCGTTGGTGTGATGGTTCTGTTTTCGTAGAACCGATCTCAACTCTCAACTCACCATTTTTGTAGCTCGTTTGGTTTGATATTTTGTTCCAAATATGCGTTTCATTTGTAAAGTTCAATTCGAAATGCATCAAAATGTTTTGATTTGAAAGAAATGCAAAGGACTCAGAAGATCTTGCGGCTCATGATGTGTCAAATATAAGATCTTGGGTAAAAGTATAAAGTTGAACACAAAAGATTATATAGGACATTCTTGAAAGACAATTTGCTTGGGTAAAAGTTCTGGTCATTTGATATCACTTATCCATTACTCACTCAATTTAAGGTGTATTTCTTGAAGTCCTCATGAGCTTGCAGCACCAAATGGTCATCTTCCCACTCATCCCGATACGTCTCTGGTCGGGCATGCCTATTTTTTGACACTTCCGAGTACATTTGCTTTCTCCATTCTTCTGAGACTGGACAGCCACACTGAGCTGCAATCCAATCATCATATTCGAACTGCAAACACAACACCGAATTATTTACTCTGTTCATGACATATACAAAGATATCAGTACCGGGACTAGAACAGTGGAGCTTTAGCTAAAACTATCGCTCGCCTACAACTCACATTAAGCAGCGTTTCAAAAAAGAGACCTCGGATTTCATTTAGAATCATGAGTTCATTAATCTGAAACCAGATTTCATTTAAAAGTAATTCCGAAGCCAAGGCAGTGCTCAACCAACTCAATGGATGAACTTCAGGTAAGGTCATGGGCACTAGGCAGGCAACAAAATATATTGAATTACCTGACAACCACCCAAGTTGTGAGTGTATCGTTTAGGTGTGCCAGAAGCTTCAAGTAAAGAGTAGAAAGCTTTGACATCCTCCATCATCTCCTCTTTGGAAGGAAGTGCAATTCGATTAGACAAAAGACCCGCTATCCACTTGCTTTGAAATTCAAACATTGGGAAAGGAACAACCTGCCACCACAATATTCAAATACATTCAAAGATTTACTCCAAATTCAAAAGAATGAACCAAAAGATTCAACCAATACATGGCAAATGATTTATAGTAGAGAAACACCTTCCATGGTATCCCGACAAAGGAAAGTGAAGGAGCCAATGCTGGTGGGAGTACATGCTTGTACAGTGGCCCCACACGGTTATCATCCACAGTCACAGTACCATTGGTTTCAAGAAAAGGGAAATGATACTTGTACCTTGAAGGGAACAAAGGAGATTACATTCAGTATTCCATTTTTGTCCCATTTTCACTTACTTCACATTCAACATGGAAGAGTACACAATAGCATCGAGTTCTAAAACAAGTCGAAGCAAGTTATACCCTGTGCAATAGAGAATGGTGTCAGCAAGGACAACACTTCCATCTTTGAAAACAACACTGCCATCGTCATGTGCGTTTTCAATCTGCAGGAGTTCAAATAATATCAAAACACTCAATCTACCCATCTTCCGGCATCAGGGTTGAAAAAAATCCTGTTGATAAAATTCTCTTCATAGCCACCCAGCTCTTACCATGGGTGACTTCTTTTACCATAGAGTGAAGCCACATGTTATCATAGCCAGGCTTCTTTTGCAAGGTTTCATCAGCAACAGATCTAGAGGCAATGTGGACTTCTTTCGCAACTCCAGCTATTTCTCGTGAAATGTCAACAGCACTGGCTGAGCTCCCTATCAAAATTACAACCTATGCAAAGCAGGAAATTGGTGAGAAGCTAACCTCTATCTAGAGGTGAAAGAAAGAAAAACCGAGGAATCAACCTATAAATTGCGAGCTGCTCATTAGTACTTGAAGCTGTTTTCATCATGTCTTTTTCTTCACCAGGAACAAGCACAACAGCAAAAATACTTGCTACAAAACGATTACTCTCAGGGCGTGTAAGGAAGTCTCCTCTTTGTGATGCTTGTTCCTGGTGAAGAAGACGATGTGCGGTGTTTCTAGGGTTGTGCAGGGATCCTAAGTCTTCCGCATTTGAGGTATTCACGTCCACTATTTTGTTAATAATTAATTTCAACAATAGCATTGGTAAATCAAAGAGAACACAATCTAGAAGTTATTACAGAATGCAGAAATGAGACGGACCTGATCTCGAAATGGCTCGGGATTACGGTAATTATGGCTGTGAAATTGCTTCCCCTTCCATGTATTGATGCCTGAAAAGAACGTGTTCAGATGATGGAGAAAAACTAAGAACCAACTATATTTTTGCTATAACTGAAAAATGGATTGCATAAGCACAAACTCAACATAAAGATGCGTCCATATTAGTTTTGTAGTTTTTTTTTTTATTTTTTTATTTGGAAATCAGGATATAGCATTATCCGGTCAAAGACGCCAAAGTTACCAGAAGGCCTACAAAGAGGCAAACAGCCAATTAAAACAACACAACTAAAGAAGGGTAGTGCAAGGAGGTTACAAGAGACCTAGACGCTACACCTAGTGCTAAAGCGTCCCTCCTCACACTACCATAATACAATTAGTGGAGACATGGGAGACCATCATTACATAAAACATGAATAAGGGAAGATGGGGGTCTGTCGACCCAAATAAGATCACATACTTCCCTACAATGCCGCAAAGCCAAAAGATCCGCTGCCGAGTTGGCCGATCTTGGAACCCAAGACCAGCGGCAATCTTGAAAGCCCCCCTCAAATTAATGCATTTCGCAATAAAAGGGAAAGCTTCCCAGCTGCCCTTCCTTGATAAACCTTCAAGCAAGAAATAGATTCCAATGAATCAGACTCCACCATTATCAAATTTCACCCTCTGCTGATTCCCAAATTACATCCATGCATAATAGCCATCGCCTCCACCATTGCCACGCTGGTGGCCTTCACTTTATACCGGCAAGCCGCCAAGAATCTACCCTCCGCGTCCCTTGACACCACTCCCATGAACCCCAGTCTGTCCCTTGCCAACCAAACGCGGTGGAGACCAACTCACAACACGATTTGTTACCTGAGGACTGATCACAAAAGTATTGGGCGGGATAGAATTTGCATCCTTGAATGCAGTAGCCGAGTGTGAAATAGGAGCAATAATTGGTAGTTTGTCCGAATATTTTCTACACATATTAGGGCAGTAAACATATTTCTTTTCCCTGCTCTACTTACAAGCTAGTCCACCATTTCCGGTCCATGAGTTAGTAATGCAATTCAAATTTGCAACCTCAAAAATTCCCATCCTGAAGATTTTCATGGATTGCACTCTACCAAAAGTAATCTCTTACCATCGGTCGATACAATTTATACTCGCATAATGCAGAATCAATCAGGCAATTAAACTAATAAAGTAACAAAGTTTGTGCAAATTATAACCCGTAAGAGATATAAGCACCTCCTATCCATGTCACCAATCCCATCATCCAAATTATATTTTTCAATTGAAAATCGAAAACTGAAAATAAAATGGTTATCAAACTGCCTTATAAACCAACTCATCAAAAGATTCGAATCCACAGTTGATACCTGGAAATTGGGGAAGACGAGGCTCAGTAAAATGGCCACTACACACAACCACCGCATCATAGATTTCATCTTCCACACCCCCACCTCCCTTACTCCTCGACTTCACTTTCCACCTCCCACCCTCCGCCGCATCCACCACCACCACCTCCGTTTCCAATCTCACCATCTCCGATACCCCAAACTCGCGGGAAAAATCCTTCAAGTACATCAGCACCTCTTTGTGACCCGGAAACCTTCTCGGGTCTCTCTCTTCGTCTCCTTCCCTGGCCACAAATGGGTAGTCTCTGAACCCCATCACCTCTCTCGGGAGGTTGGTCCTCAGCGACTCGTACATGCTCGAGTGGACCGTCGTCCGATTCGCGTGGATCCCAATCGGGTCGGACTCCACCTTCGGAGTGTAGACCCACGTGCCGCCCACCTGGTCTTCTCGCTCGAACACGACCACTTTGTGACCTTCTCGCCAGAGCTCACGTGCCGCGACCAGGCCGCCGGCGCCGGCGCCGATCACCGCCACGTGGCGCGAGGCCAGCGCGGGTTTCATTGTCGAATTGTGGACAACAGAGTCGGACAAAAGACGGCACCTTGGTGTTTTGAACATAGGCCGTGTGGTTGCGGATTGCGATAAAACGATGCTGTTGTGAGATACTACCATAATTTTCATCATTAAGCTAATAGAAAATTAAATCTTAATAGAAAGTGCTAGTGAATCTTAAAATTGATGTTTAAGTTTTTACCTAATACATATAGGTTTTTCAATCTTTTGTTAATCAGTGTTTAATGGTCTATATCATCACAATTTATTACAAATAGTACCACGCCTGTCAAAGCGATGCCATTTAACACATTATTCGGTAAAAATGAAATTTGGATTGGGTCAAGGTCCGTATTCAACTCGAATGTATGAATTATTGATTTAAAATCATTGTGCAAAACATGGCAAAATGAAACCATCCAGCAAACATTCGCGAAACAAGACAAAAACTAACAATACGATTCACCAAACCTTTCCATTGACAAGTTTAGTACACTTGCTACTGGTTTGGTACTAAGATGTTGTTATAAAAAATTGGTATTAAAAAAAGCTGGGCTCAAAAAGTTATTTGGTAAATACTTAAAAACAGTTTATTTTCACAGTTTTGGATGGAAAAAAAACTAAAAGCGTGAAGTAGCAAAAATGAGCTTATTCTCACAGCACAGCAAAAACAGTTTTTTTTTCAAAGCACAGCAATACCAAACCAGCCCTTAATAGTCTTGAATTAAACACAGATTTTACATGTCTTATTAATGTTGAAGAATAGAATCTCACACCAGTTATATAACAAAATACAATACACATCTTATTATTTGAGATATTTTACAAAAAATATAACAGAGACCTTTTATGGTAAAACCACACTCCTAATGAGAAGTTGTTAACGGGGGACAATACTCATAATTTTAAAGATGAACTTGCATGGGCCTACAAAATTTAGAGTACATTGTACCAATGGTTCCTCAACTTTAATCAAATTAGAGCAATGGTCCCTCAACAAAAAATTCATTACTATTGGTCCCTTAATTCATCAAAACATGTAGCTATGGTCATTTTTATCAACTCCGTCAGAATTCTGTCAAAATAAGTTATGTTGGAAGGACCATTGCTACAATTGGATTAAAGTTGAGGGATTATTTCTCCATTTGGATTAAATTTGATAGACCATTAATACAATTTTTCTTATTTGATTTTACATATTTGCCTCTTGATTCAGCTTGACGTGCATGACACGTGACTTATTTTAACGGAAGTTCTAATGGTGTTGACAAAAATGACCATAACCGCACGTTTTGATGAGTTGGGGAACCATTGGTTTTTAATTGAAGGATAGCTGCTCCAACACAATTTAGTCTAAAATGCATCAATCACAAAGTAATATTTTCATTATTGTACAATACAAGCTAAGAACCCGTGAAAATAGCCCGGTACTCGAATTGAGTCGAGTGAAACACGTAAATCTTTGTGTGGTTGTGGATTCCACCGTCTTAATTAACCACAAATGTTGGTCCACTTTTGGATGCCAACGAACGACATCAACACTCATTTTAGTTTTGCCTAGAAATTACGTACATCTGTGATTTGAAGCTGAACTCAAAACCTTCTGAAGGACAACAACACGCCAAGATTTCGTGGGATATCTGTTTTCGCTTGTTTCAGCTTGATCATATCAGGACAACGTTCGATATCACTTGTCCATTACCCCAATTCCATTGAAGGTGTATTTTCTGTAGTCCTCGTGAGCTTGCAGATGGTGGTCATCCCACTCGTCCCGGTACGTCTCTGGTCGTTTAATCAGGTTCTGTGTTGCTGCAACAAACATTTGCTTTCTCCATTCTTCAAAGACTGGACACCCGCACTGAACTGCTAGCCAATCCTCATATTCAGACTGTAAGAAATAACACCGAAATATTTGTTCTTTAATAAAAGCACGGGGACTACTGAAATCTGATGGAAAAAAATGAATTCACAAGTAACTGAGAAAACCTACAGTTGACATGATTGAGTGCGAAAGATGATAGATACTAAACAATGGGAGGTACATGATTTGGGAAAATGGATTTTTGCCAATTGCAATGGCTGACTTGTTGTCACAGTACAATACAGTGCCTCCTTGCTTTTTTCCGATATCTTCAAGAATTCTCCGAAGCCATACGGCTTGAGATGCTGCTTTTGCTGCTGCCACATACCCTGCTTCAGCAGACGATTGTGTCACCACACTTTGTTTCTTCGTATGCCAAGAACATATCCCTGAGCCAAGAGAGAAAACGTAGGCCGACATACTTTTCATATCATCAAGACATCTAGCCTAATCATAATCGATGTACCAGATAAGCCTTGAACTTCGTGCTTCAGCCTTGTACATAATTCCATAGTCAAGCGTGCCTTGCACATATCTTAACACCCTTTTTCTAGCACCAAAGTGAAGCTGACTTGGTTCCTCCTTGTATCTTGAAAGCATACTTGAAGCAAAAATATATATTCGGCCTAGTGGCAGTGAGATATAAAAGACTACCGATCAAACTTCGATACTTTGTGCCATTTGATTTCTTTGCACCATCACATTTCTTCATCTTTTCATTCGGCATCAAAGGAGTAGCCACTGTTTTGCAGTCAGATAAATTGAACTTCTTGAGCAGATTTTCTGCATATTTTTTTTGAGAAATAAATATCCCATTTTTGGTTTGAGAAACTTCAATTCCCAAGAAATAATGAAGCAAACCCAGATCACTCATCTCATAGGTGCTCATCATATCTTTCTTGAACTGCTGTAACAAACTTTGATCATTTCTAGTGAAGACTAAGTCATCCACATATAAGGAAACAATGAGAATTGAAGCTCCTCTCTTCAAAACATATAGTGTAGGCTCACTTTGGCTCTTTTTGAAACCACGTTTGGCAAAATATTTATCAATTTAAACATACCACGTTCGAGGTGCTTGCTTTAACTTGTTTAATGTTTCTTCTTCCGACACTCCATTAAAAAATGCAGACTCACATCAAGTTGATAAATCAACCAATTCTTTTGAGCATCAAGAACAATTAAAGTTTCCAACCGTGCAACTGGAGCAAAGGTTTCAGAAAAATCAATACTTGGCTTTTGAGTAAAGCCTCTTGCCATGAGCTTGTGCTTTTGAATGCTCCCATCTTGATTGAATTTCATCTTGAAAATCCACTTCACGTCTATGACATCTCTATCTTGTGGATAATCAACCAGCTCCCATGTTTGATTTTTCTCGATCATTCTCATCTCCTCCTTCATGGCTTTCACCCATATTTCATGATTTTGTGCTTCTTTTCCGGCTCTACACCAACAAAATCCGAGTTCTTAATGGAGGACTTTCTGATGAAGAGTAGTTTGGAGAACCAGGTTCTGCATTCAAACTGCTTCCTGAACTTCTTCTAGCAACTACTGGAGTTGAGGCGTGACTTCTTCTTGCTGCTTCTCTCTTGGAATTTCACCTTCTTCTTGTATAATTGCATATGGCATCTCCTGCACTTTATTTTCATTCCAATCGCAGCTAGCTTTTTCATTAAAAATCACATCTCTACTCACAATCAATTTCTTAGTTTCAACATTATCAAGCCTATAACCTTTGGTGTTGGAACAATAGCCAAAAAAGATACATTTTTGGTATTTTTTCATCAAGCTTAGTTCTTTTTTCGGTGGGAATATGAGCATAACAAATGTAGCCAAAAGTTTTGAAATGACTCACCGGATGTTTGAATCCGCTCCAAGCTTCAAATGGAGTTTTGTTCTTTATGGCTTTGGTTGGACATCTATTAAGAATGTATACTACTGTACACAGCTTCTATCCAAAAAAATTTTGGTATTCTTTTCTCATTCGTCATGGATCTAGCCATCCCTATGATTGTTTGGTTCTTTCTTTTGACAATCCCATTTTGCTGGGGACTATACCCTGTTGCCAATTGCTTCCAAATGCCTTCATCTTTGCAGTAGTCTTCAAATTCATGAAAGGTATATTCGCCTCCTTTGTCACTTCGAATGATTTTGATGCTGCAACCACTTTAATTTTCTACGAATGCTTTGAATTGTTTGAAGACAGTGAAAGTTTCTGATTTCTCCTTCAAAAAATAAACCCATGTCATCCTTGAATAATCATCAATGAACGCGGGAAAGTACTTGTGCTGGCTTAAGGAAGGAGTTGGCATTTTGCCATAAATATCGGTATGCATAAGTTCCAGCGGTGGCTTTGCTCTCCACGTGCTTTGACTTGGGAATGAATTACGGTGCTGCTTGCCCATGACACAGCCTTCACAAGCATCTGTTGTTGCTTCAATTTCCAATAACCCTTTAACCATGTTTTTCTTCTGGAGAAGCTATTGGAAGAAAGCATGGGTGTATAGTGACAGAAAGCATGGGTGTATGGTGACCTTTACTTTTCCATGTTTTCCTCACCTTTACTTTTCCATGTTTTCTGCTTGTCCTCACCTTTCTTTCGGCTTCTGTTTTCTTTTCCCTTCTTCCGCTCATTTATATGAGCTTTCCTTGTACTTGGTTTTACATAATACAAAATATAGACATTCAAAATTCAATATGGTATCAGAGCAGTGACCCTAACCGGCCTGTCTCTGTGATGTTCTCTTGAGAGATTTGTGAGCTTCTTGTCCTTCAATCATGGCTAAAGAAAGCTTAGTAAATTTGGAAGGAGACGGCTTTCATGCTACTCCACCATCACCACACTCAGATATTGATATCAACCCAAATCAACGTCTTAGTTCTGTCTTGCTAAATGAGTTTAACTATCTTCCATGGGAGAGAGCAGTTTCTCTTGCTCTAGGAGGACGATCAAAGCTTGGTTATGTTAATGGTGTTATTCCAATGCCTGAGACTACCTCACCGGAGTATGATGCTTGGCTATGCAAAGACCAGTTGGTCATGTCGTGGCTACTCAATTCCATGGATCGTAAGATTGCAGAAATTTTTAGCTATGCTGAATCCTCCATGACTCTTTGGAAAAATCTCAAGGAAATGTATGGAAATCAGAACAATGTGGCTAGAGTGTTTCAGTTAAAGAAGGACATTGCTGGTTTGCAACAGGAAGGGAAGCCATTTGTGCAACATCTTGGAAAGCTGACCGCTATGTGGAACGAGCTGAATGTGTATCGACCACACACCATCGACGCTGCTGTGCTAACTAAAAGAGCCGAGGAAGACAAAATATTCCAACTCCTAGCAAGCCTGAGTCCTGAATTCGAAGATCTTCGAAGTCATATCCTCATGAATCCCGACCTGCCTTCTTTTTCAAGTGTGTGTGCCACAATTCAAAGAGAAGAGGTTCGAAGGAAAGTCATGACCTTGGACATGAAGGAAAATATACCAGAAGCTAGGGCTTACTTCTCTAACCAAAAACTTGGTGAGGAGAGAGGCTACAAAGGAAAGAAAACTGGCTTAAAATGTAGCCATTGTGATGCTGGTGGGCACTCAAGAGATCGATGCTGGATTCTTCATCCAGAGTTAAAACCAAAGTTTCCTAGGAATAACAAAGGTGTCTCGAAAGGCTCGTACAACCCTTCTTACAAGGCAAATCATGTTGCCACAACTTCTTCTGATGGAGCACTGAAGTTCACCACTAATCCAGCTGCACCGATCAACGAGTTTGCTATGTTTCTTCACAAGAAACAAGGTCTTGGAGATAGTGAAGGACCACTAAATCAGTGTGACAACAATCAAACTGCACTACTAGGACAGTTTGCTGGCTTCCTGGCTGGAAATGAAGGCGTGGTACAAAGGGACATCCCAGGTATCTTACACTCCTTCTCAACTGCTCTCAACATTGGTAATGTGCATGATTATTGGATTATAGATTCTGGAACCACTGATCATATGACTAACAAGTCTACAAACTTGCATAAATTTGAAAAATTTTCTATTCCATCCCAAGTGTCAATTGCCAATGGAAAAAATGCTATGGTTGTGGGAAAAGGAAAAATACATTTGATCTCAAGTGATGTCGAGTCTGAGGCTCTTTATGTTCCCTCATTCCCTTTTCAACTTTTATCTGTTAGCAAGATCACAAACTCATTAAATTGTCTTGCCATTTTCTCTCCCAAAAATATGATCTTTCAAGATGTAGTCACCAAGAAGACGATTGGTGAAGGATTTTTCTTAAATGGTCTCTACTATCTTTCCAAGCACATTCAAGTTCCCAAGGTTTTTCAAGTCACTTCAAGCTTAGCTCAAGAACAACAACTTTGGCACCAACGTCTAGCACATCCTTCTAAAAAAGTTCTATCCACCTTGTTCCCAAATATGTGCAAAGTTACAAGTCCTTGTGATGTTTGTCATTTTTCTAGTTTACTAGATTACCATTTACTTCCTCTTTGTCTAGGGCTAGTAACCCTTTTGAAATTGTGCATTTCGATGTTTGGGGACCAACTATAGAGTCTTTTGATGGATACAAATATTTTGTAACTTTTGCGGATGATTTCACAAGGATTACTTGGTTGTATCTTTTGAAATTTAAAAGTGAAGTGATGGAAGTTTTTCAAGATTTTCATAGACTTGTGGCCACCCAATTTGCTTCAAAAATTCATATTTTACGATCAGATAACGGCACAGAATATATGTCTCATAACATGTCACACTACTTGAGCACGCATGGTATATTACACCAAACAAGCTGTGTTGGAACACCTCAACAAAATGGGGTGGCCGAGAGGAAGAATAGAGATCTACTTGAGAAGACTAGAGCTCTTATGTTTCACATGAATGTGCCTAAGAAGTTTTGGTCTCAAGGAGTCCTTACTGCGGCATATCTCATCAATAGATTGCCTAGTAAAGTGTTGAATTTTAAATCACCTTATGAGGTCTTGAAAAATAGAAAGATCAACTTTTCCCATTTGAGAGTCTTTGGGTGTACATGCCTTGTTCACATTCAAACTCAAAATCGTGACAAGCTAGACCCAAGGGCTGCCAAATGTGTCTTTCTAGGTTATTCATCTACCCAAAAATGTTACAAGTGCTATAATTCAACAACTAGAAAAATGGTTGTTTCAAGGGATGTTAAATTTGAAGAACATGTTCCTTACTTCTCACAATCACTGGATTACTCTAGACAGGGGGAGCATTTGATGGACTTATTTCCTTTTCCATATCCAAACGGAGAAGATGCAACATGCACTCCTAGTGATCATGTGCCGGATGATGTTAACCTTCACTCGGTGGAACATCTTGAAGATGAAAACCCTTCCTCATCAGAGATTCACACTGCACCCTCCAGTGATCCTTCCAACCATGATGTTGTTCAAATACCTGTAGTTCAATCTCCTACAGTTCGTCGCAATCCTGCACGAGAGAGGAAACTTCCATCCAAGTTGCATGATTATGTGACCTACACTGCCAGGTATCCTGTGACTGATGTTATTAATTATAGCAAAGTCTCATCTTCTTTTGCTACATTCCTAAGTGCCATTAATGAAGCTCGAGAACCTCAAAGTTTTCAAGAAGCCAATCTTCACAGTGAGTGGAGAAATGCTATGGCAGAGGAGCTTCAAGCCCTCCATGAAAATAACACATGGACTATAGTGAAACTTCCAAAAGGAAAGAAGGCAGTGGGGAGTCGTTGGGTGTACAAAACTAAGTTTCATTCAGATGGCACAAGCGAAAGGAATAAGGCTCGCTTGGTTGCTCGAGGTTTTACACAAACCTATGGCGTCGATTATAAAGAGACATTTGCTCCGGTGGCAAAAATGAACACTGTTAGAGTATTGTTGTCGGTTGCAATTAACAATGCATGGCCTCTCTTTCAAATGGATGTTAAAAATGCTTTCCTGCATGGTGAACTTGAAGAAGAGGTTTACATGAAGCTACCCCCAGGTCATCCTCAATCAAACAATCCAGAAATGGTGTGCAAACTCCATAAATCCATTTATGGTCTCAAGCAAAGTCCACGTGCATGGTATGCCAAGCTCAGTCATGTTCTGGAAAGGGTTGGTTTTTGTCGAAGTATTGCGGATTCTTCCCTATTTGTTCGTTCCAGCTTAGTGGGTAAACTAGTTGTGCTCATTTATGTTGATGATCTAATTGTGATAGGTGATAATATGTCAGAGATTAATGCTCTTAAACAGTATCTCAACAACAAGTTTGCTATCAAGGATCTTGGCACTCTCAAATACTTTCTGGGCATCGAGATGGCACACTCTCACAAGGGTTTCTTCCTCAACCAACGCAAGTATGTCATGGATCTTCTTCACGAAGCCAAAATGACAGATTGCAAGCCTGCTCGTACCCCCTTGGATAGCAACTTGAAGCTAAAAACTCACGGTGATCCAGTTCCCAATTTAAGTTACTATCAAAGAATGGTTGGCAAACTCATTTATCTGACTATCACACGTCCTGATATATCATATGCTGTCAGCATTGTTAGCCAGTTTATGCACTCTCCAAGCATGGATCATTTGAAGATTGTTCATCGTGTGCTACGTTATCTTAAGGGTTCCATTGGTAGAGGAATTCTTATGCGCAACAATAGTCACACTCAGATCTCAGGCTATACCGATGCTGACTGGGCAAGCAATTCTCTCGATCGCAAGTCTACCACTGGGTTTTGTACGTTTGTGGGAGGTAACCTAGTTACCTGGAAAAGCAAGAAACAAAGTGTTGTTGCATGCTCTAGTGCAGAGGCAGAGTATCGTGCTATGGCGTCCACTGCTTGTTAACTTATTTGGCTCAAAAGCCTTCTGTTGACTTTAGGTTTTCCTCATCAACAACCCATGTCCCTACATTGTGATAATCAGGCCGCGATGCACATTGCATCGAATCCTGTATTCCATGAGCGAACTAAACATATTGAAGTTGATTGTCACTACGTCAGAAATCAAGTTCAGTCCAAGGTGATCAACACTCACTACACGCGCAGTCATGATCAACTTGCGGATATTTTCATAAAAGGATTACCCTCTGCTGATTTTCAACGTCTTTTGTTCAAGCTTGGATCAATTAATCCCTTTGATCCAGCTTGAGGGGGAGTATTGGAAGAAAGCATGGGTGTATAGTGACAGAAAGCATGGGTGTATGGTGACCTTTACTTTTCCATGTTTTCTGGGTGTATAGTGACAGAAAGCATGGGTGTATGGTGACCTTTACTTTTCCATGTTTTCCTCACCTTTACTTTTCCATGTTTTCTGCTTGTCCTCACCTTTCTTTCGGCTTCTGTTTTCTTTTCCCTTCTTCCGCTCATTTATATGAGCTTTCCTTGTACTTGGTTTTACATAATACAAAATATAGACATTCAAAATTCAATAGAAGCTTAGCCCCTGGAAATTTAAATGACAAAGCCTCTTGTGCCACAACCAAGAGTCTTGCACAATATCAACCTTCAAAGAAACTTCATTTCCATAGCGCATTGAAGGGGGAAAAGTTTGATTTTTCTCCATCGGAACCGATGGGATGAGCTGTTCATTTTCCTTCTTGTCATAAATAGTGCAATCCACATCTTTGAAAACAACTTTGTAGCCATTTCGCATAAGCTGCCCAACACTTAATAAATTTTGAGCTATGTTTGGAACAAGCAAAACATCACGGATATATTTGACTCCCCTTTTTGTTTGGACGGGAACAGTGCCTTTCCCCAACGCTTAGTGATAATAATCATCACCCATCTTTATTCTGGGAGTAATGGAAATGTCCATATCAACAAATAATTTTTCATTTGATGTCATATGATTGGTGCAGCTGCTATCCACGTACCAAACATTATTTCCTTCTTCGGATTTTGATTGACCAGCATAAAATACAATTCTTTCTTTTGCATCATCCTTCTCTGCAAAATTTGCTTGATTATAATTCTTGAATCTACACTCCTTTTCAACATGTCCAAATTTGTTGCAATAATGACACTTTCGCTTCCCACGGTTAAAACAATCAACTGTATCATGGTTAGTTCTGTTACAAATCTTGCAAAAAGGCTTATTACCTTTGTTGCTTTTGGCATCATCTCTTTTGCTAGACTTGCCTTTCTTCCATCTTCTTTGCTTCCTGCCTTGCTGGTCATCTCAAGCATTGCCTTTCTTGAAGAACTTCTTGGATTTGAATGTGAGCTTCGATTGGAAAGCACTTTCAACAGATTGCTCATTATTTCGTCTCAGCCTTCTTGGCTCATGAGACTTTAGAGAACCCATCAATTGCTCTAGTGATAAAGTGGCGAGAACCCATCATTTTTCCGGCAAACTGATCAAGATCTTCTCAACAACCTGCTAGTTAGACATATTTTCTCCAAGTGTTCTAATTTGATTCACCACTTCAACAACTCTGGAAGAGTAATCTTGGATGCATTCTAATTCCTTCATATTGTGGAACTCCCTGCGCAACGTCTAGAGCTTGATGGTTTTTACCTTGCTATCACGTTGGAACTCATTTTCTAATATCTCCCACTCTTCTTTTGCTATTTGGGCTCTAATGATTCTTGGAAAAATGTTGCCAGTGACTCCGTTTTGAATTTTTGGGAGAGCCTTGGCATCTTTCATTACATCTGCTTCAAACTTTTCTTTCTGTGCAGCCGGAACTTCGGCATCAGCAGCTAGTTCTTCAAGTCTTGTTTCAACTATGCTCCAGAGTCATTTTGACCAAAGCAAAGTCCTCATCTTCACCTTTCAGAAATCATAATTCTCTCCTCCAAAAATTGGAAGAATAGAGTAAGAAACTGATGGACCTTCTTTCCCACCAGAAGCCATCTTTTGCCAACAACCCAATAGGTGTGGGGGCATTTTAGAGTCTTAACATTTAGGGTAGTGCATTAATTCCAACAAGAACCACATCGCTTGGTTAGTAAAGACTTTATCTTTTATGTTTAGATGGACGCGCTTAAACTATCTTATCTTCTTAAGTTTATCATATGCATATCTAGTCAAGGAAATCTAAAACAATACTTCATTGACCGATCACTCCGAACCTAGCATCTTAATTCTTAACCACTAAGAAAGCTTATGAGGGCAGAGAGACTAGCAAACAAAATAGGCAGGGAAACAAAGAGATTGAGTTTACCTTATAAGCATAAATGTTGTGAGTGTAATGCTTAGGGGTGCCCGAAGCTTCGAGTGAAGAGTAGGAAACTTTGCCATCCTCCACCATCTCCTGTTGTGACGAAAGTGCAATACGATTATACAAAACGCCTGCTATCCACTTGCTTTGAAGTTCAAATATAGGGAAAGGCTCAGCCTGGCACCAAAAAGTTCAACCATTTACTTCAAACATAAAAAGAAGAAAGAACCAAAAAGAGTCAAAAGACCCAACAAAAATATGGTAGACAATTTACAGAAGAGAAACACCTTCCATGTTAACCCAACGAAGGAAAGTGTTGGAGCCAAGGCGGGTGGGAAGATGTGCTTGTACAGTGGTCCAACACGGTTATCATCCACGGTCACAATGCCATTGGTTTCAAGAAAAGGGAAACGATATTTGTACCTTAAAAAGAAAAAATATATACTACCACCTCTTTCATTCAATACAGAAAACTATTTGATAGCTTGAAGTCCTAAAATTAGCCAAAGCAGTGTACCCTGTGCGGTGAAGAATGACGTCAGCGAGGACAACGCTCTCATCTTCGAAAACAACTCTACCATCTTCATGGAAACTTTTGATCTGCATTTGTTGAAACAATAGCAGTACCTTGGATATACCTATTTCCCAGCATCAGTCTTAAACCAAACTGAAAATTCCGTTGGTAAAGTCTATTACCATAGAATGGAGCCACATATTATCATAGGTGGGCTGCTTTTCATTGGTTTCATCCGGGAGAGATCTAGATGCACTGTGAACCTCTGTAGCGATTCCATCTATGTCCCGTGAAATATCAATGGCACTAGGTGCGCTCCCTAGCAAGATTACAACCTATGCAAAGCATGGAAAGGGATAAGATAAGCTAACCACCATATATAGTTTTTGAGTAAAGGAAGCCAAAAACAAGTAATAACTTTAGTACTCTACCGGAACCGATTTGCTTCCTTCAATCAATGAGAGATTCCAAGATATATAATTGATTTATATACCGCTATTAGTATAGTATCTACTAGAAAATGTGCCCGCGCGATGCCGCGGGACTTGAATACATGATGTTGAGCTGTATGATGAAGGTATGTTTTATCTGAATAAATTTAACACAATGAAGAATGAAGAGAGGGATAGATGTGTGAATGGGGTTGATAAGATATGTAATTTTGTTTTTATATACATTCAACTTAACTGATGTGAAAAGACATTGATCAATTAACAGAACGAAACTGAACGTTTTGGTTCCTTAATAAACAGAAGTAACATGTAGTTTACACAAATGTCGGCCCTGTAGTAAAGGTGGCAAAATAGATGTCATTTAAGTTAGGCACATGTTTGAGCAGTTGACAAAACATATAAAAATTGTTTTGTTCTTATTCTAGCATCATAGTTTTGAAGCACAAACGCGGAAAGTAAAAACTATGGAAGACGTTTGTTTCCTTAAGAAACAGGAGTAACATGTTGTCCACACATATTTTTCCATTACATTTAAGATGGAAAAATATGTCTTGTAGGTTGGTTATCTGTTTCAGTAGTTACCAAAAAACAAAAAGAGTGTTTCGTTGTTGTTGAAGCAGCCAAGTCCTTAAGCTAAACTGTTGAAAGGTACAAAGATGTAGAAAGCCCTGCTGCAGTTGATAGGAGCATTTTTATGCGACTTAATTGGCTTGTTCTCATGCATTTATGTTGTTTTTCCTTAGTTAGTTTAGTGTTTAAAGTCATTTTCGTGCAATTTCAGGTTTTAGTGTCAAAGTATGCAAAAAGAAGCAATTTGGAGCATTCTAGAGCATTTTTGGGCCAAGATTGGATAGTGCAAGCATGGAGGCATAAGGATGGACGAATTTGAAGGCTTGAATTCAGTTAGGGAGCTGCAAGGGGGCCTAAAAAACCTTATTTCTAGAAGGCTTTATCTAATCACACATGGTGCCTAATTTCTAGCTTGTCTCCTAGCCGTCCTAGCTTGTCTCCTAGCCGTCCTACCTTGTCTCCTAGCCGTCCTAGCTTGTCACTAGCCGTCCTACCTTGTCTCCTAGCCGTCCTAGCTTGTCTCCTAGCCGTCCTAGCTTGTCACTAGCCGTCCTAGCTTGTCTCCTAGCCGTCCTAGCTTGTCACTAGCCGTCCTAGCTTGTCACTAGCCGTCCTAGCTTGTCTCCTAGCCGTCCTACCTTGTCTCCTAGCCGTCCTACCTTGTCTCCTACCTTGTCCAAGCTACACACATATATCCTTTAAGTGTTTCAACTAAGTTCAAAAACCTTTCCTAGCCCTATAAATAAGGCTTTGCAGCAAGGCACTTGGGGGGATCACTCATTCACCCAATTTTCGTCCATTCATCTAGCCACACCACTCTATACATCCTAAAATCCTAAAAACACAATTCCAGCCAAACACTACACCTTGCCGTGCCTATCCTCCATCCAATTCCATAATCCCTGATCCTAAAACACATCCCAACCATCCCATCCACCTTTGTGCCGTAGCAAGGAGAAAGAAGGAAAGACTCTTGGATGCTCAAGCTTCGTCGTTGGTGCATTCTAGGTGTAATTCGTTTTATGATTTCAATGTTTAATTTATTTTCCTTTCATTTTGCTATGAACATGAGTGGCTAAACCCCTATTGGTTAGGGGTGATTTCGAAGCCATAACTATGTGTGCAAGTTGATTTGATAAATTCCAGTTATGAGTTCTTGAATCGTGAATGCAATTGGCTTAACTGTGAGAGTAATAACGTATTTGTGTTTGTTAATTAGGGGTCGACACTTAATTGGCTTGCATGAATATGATGCTAGAATATAAGTTTGTTTCACATAATTGTCACACACTTATATTCACAAGTAGTGAAGGTTGCTAGTCACAATCGCGTTAAGTTCAATTCCTAGCATAAGTGTCATGATGTCATAGTCACAAGTGCTTTGTCAATGCTTATAGTTTTCATTGAACGTAATGATCTTTGATTGTATCTTTATTATGATGTCATGTAAGGAACTTTTGAAGAATGCTTTGGGTTGTCGTATGATGTCATCCAATTCAATAACACAAGGAAAACTTGAGAATTAACTAGTGATGTCATGGTTAATTTGGGGCATTGTCATTCATAATTCTATGAAGGAATAACTGGAAATCGAGTCATTTGCATACTTGTCATGTGTGGAGAAGGAACCCCTAACTAGTCCATCATCCATTAAAAACCCCAAAAACGTTTCAAAATCAGTTTTACTTTGCAATCTGTTTTCTCAACTTTAATTTCGTCCAAATCAAATCCCCCTTTACTTTGAAGTCTCAATTTAGTTAGAAATTGTTTTGGTTCATGTTTTTAAGTGTTTTGAGTCAAGTTTTCAACCAATTTCGTCCAAATTAGTGTAGGTGCTCAAAACTGCCCAGAAAGTGGTTTTTAGGCAGTTTTGAGTCTTCTAGTTGCTGTTTTGAGTTTTTGTTTTGTTTTAGTGTTTTAACTTTGGTTTTTCATTCTTTGAGTCCAAATTAGTGTTTTTAACTTTGTTTTGGAGTTCTTAGGTCAGTTTTCAAGAGTTTAGCAATCCCTCCTAATCCCCGGTTTTGAACGATCCCTACTTACATACTTTGCTACAATTGTCAGAAGAGGGTTTAATTTGTGTGCTTAATATATTTCGCATCAAATTTTTGGCGCCGTTGCCGGGGATTAGCAACTTTGCTAAATCCCTTGGATTGTTTTTGTTTCATTTATTTCACTTTGTTTCTGATTTTGTTTTAGTTTCTGACCTATTTTTGTTTCTTGTTTTTTAGGTACTAGTGCATGACGCGGAGTTCTCAAACTGTGCATGCACATATCTTAGACTTTAACGACGATTTTGAACGTGATTTGAGAAGAAAGAGGAGGCATCCCGAACGTAGTGAACCTAGTTCAAGTTCAGAGGCCGAATCTGAGTTTGAAGAAGTGGAAGAAGAAGTTATGGCAGCAGACAATCGGACCATTAAAGAGCTTTCGGCCTCAGGGTTGGCCAATGCCGCACCATTATGCATTCAATACCCCGCGGCTGCCCAAGGCAAGACCGATGAATTCGAGTTGAAGTCAAGCCTGTTGCACCACATTCCTAAATACCATGGGCTTTCCATGGAAGATCCAAACAAGCATCTTAAAGAGTTTGAAGTAGTTTGTTCAAGCATGACTCCCGTCAATGTTGACGGAAGTATTTTGAAGATGAAAGCTTTTCCGTTCTCTTTAATGGATAAAGCTAAGGATTGGTTATACGAGTTGGCTCCTGGCACTGTCACTTCATGGGAGAGTATGAAAAGAGCGTTTTTGGAGAAGTTTTTCCCAACTTCTCGCATCATTCTTCTTCGTAAAAAAATAAGTGGAATTCAACAAGATGAAGGTGAGTCTTTTCCTGCATACTATGAACGTTTTAAATCACTTGTTGCTTCTTGTCCACAGCATCAGATGAAGGAGGAGCTACTTTTGCAATACTTCTACGAGGGCCTCCTACCATTAGAACGTCAAATGCTCGATGCCTCGGCAGGTGGAGCATTAGTGGACAAAACACCTATGGCTGCCAAGACCTTGATTTCTAATCGAGCGTTGAACGATCAACAATACGAAGGAGTAGGCCAAAGAGGACCCCCACGGCAACATGTTCATGAGGTAAGTTCTACTTCCGACATTAATTCACAATTGGCTAATCTTACTTCTATTGTGTCTCAGTTGGCCGAGGGCATGAAGATGCAAGGACCAATTGTATGTGGCGTATGTTCTATGCATGGACATGCCTCTGAAAAATGTCCACAGTTGATTGAAAATGGTGGATGGGAAAGCGCCAATGCAATTGGGTTTCAAGGCCAAAACCAACCAAGGAACGATCCTTATTCCAACACATATAATCCCGGTTGGAGAGACCACCCAAATTTCAAATGGAGGGAGCCCCAACAATCTCAAAACCAAGGAGGCTTTAGGCAACAACCCCCTGGGTTCTTTCCCAAAACCTACGGCCCACCCCAAAATCAAGCCCAATCCGGCCCAAGTGCCTCAGGTACGTCTCTTGACAATGATGCACTTCTTAAGATACTAACTAAGTTGTCTAATGGGCAGGACGATCAAGCTAAGGCTATGCAAAACCAAGACAAAAGGGTGGATCAATTGGAGAAACAAATGGGGCAAATTGCCGAGTTTATGGGGCAGTTTCGTGAACAAGGAAAGCTCCCTAGTTCCACCGTTCCAAATCCAAAGGGAAGCTTCGAAAGTGCAAAAGCCATAACCTTGAGAAGTGAAAAAGAGATTGGGGCAGATCCTACACCATCACAATCAGGTCCCAAAGGTGATGAAAACTTGCAAATTGAAGAGGAAGAATCAAGCAAACCCATGACAAAGGTGGGAGAGTCTTTGCCGCAAGTTCCTAGTGCCCCAAAACTGTCTAATTCGGCCAAAAAGGGTAAGAATGTGTCAAATTCGGTTTCTACTAATGCTTTTCCTTCGAATGCTCCTTTTCCTAGTAGGTTTATGCAACCAAGGAAGGAAGAAGCTGAAAAGGACATCCTTGAGACATTTAGGAAAGTTCAAGTGAACATACCCTTGTTGGATGCAATCAAGCAAGTCCCTAGATACGCCAAGTTTTTGAAGGAGTTGTGCACCACTAGGAAGAGGATGTCGACCAAGGAAGTGGTAAAAGTAGGTGAGAATGTGTCCGCCATCTTGCAACGCAAACTACCTCCCAAATGCAAAGATCCGGGTAGTTTCACCATTCCTTGTGTCATAGGTAACACTAGATTTGAATCTGCCATGCTTGACTTAGGTGCCTCTATAAATGTTATGCCATATTCCATATATGTCTCTATGAACCTAGGATCATTGAAAAAGGATGGTGTTATCATACAATTGGCCGATAGATCTAATGCCTATCCAAAGGGAGTT